CGTCCCCCCCCCCCCGTCAGCCCCCCTTCCCACGTGCGCCGCTTTCGTTCTGTGTGTCGCCGTGTAACGCCCCTCCTCAACGACAACATCAGCCCCAGATCTTCTACAACCGCGCTTTGAAGGGGCAAGATCGAACCAAGATCCTGGACCTCAAGCGAAAACCCAGCGCCGCCACTGCAGGCAAGAGCGCCACACACACGACGCCAGTCTCAGACCAGCAGTCGCTTTCGAAATACTCCGGGGTCGACCCGAATGATGACCTCGCCGCCTTGACCAAGATCCTGCCGCCGAAGATCTTGTCCTGGACGGAGCTCAGCATTGACCAGAGGCGGAGCATCAGCGGCAGCTCTGATGATTCCTCTACCGCTGGCGGCGGTGGCGGCGGTCGCATCGGCAGTAGTGGATACGGGCGGAACGGCGGGAGGCCCGGAGGTAGCGGGGAGAGCGGGCGTCTTCGGAATGGTTGCATTCCCTCGTCGTTCTCGGCAGGCCGCGGCGGCGGCGGCGGCGGCGGCGGCGGCAAGACAAGCCTCGGGCTGAATCCAGAGAATGCTCGGCACAGCTTTTGTGGTTGGCAGAGCCCACGAGGGCACGCGAATGGAGGACATGGCGTCGGCGGTGGTGTTGGCCGCGGCAACAGCAGCGCCGGTGTTGCTTTCGGCAAGAGACAGGACCGTCGGGCCTACGGCTGGGAACGATCCCCGACCAAGCGCAGACAAGACGGCGGCGGCGGAAGTGGTGGGGGCGTGGACAAGAGCACCTCTATCCAGAACCTGCTCACAGCCGTGCAACTAGAGATCGAGGACCGCCGCAGTACTAGCGCTGAACTCTGCAGCGAGACTTTCATGCCGAACCCCTTGCGAACGCCCTGGGCAGCCCGCACCGCCACGAGCGATCCCCCCAGCGTGCCAATTCCAGACCCGCTACCACTCCCACCTCTCGTGGCCCCCACGATCCATGCCAGCCTGCCTGCGGTACCCAACAATAACCACTCTGCAACAGACCCAACTTCGCTGAGGCTCGTCTTCTCCTCTTCTACGGACGCTCTCCAGCCCCTGTCTCCTCCGAAGCAGGTCGGGGTCAACGTCGGCACGCCCACCCGCAGCTCCCCTTTCACCAGCAGCCGTGATGCGGAGGTCGAAGGGAAGAAGTTCGGGAGCTTCGACGTGAAGAACTTCGGGGACAGCCTCCTAGGCAGCGGCGGTGATGGCGCCATGGACCATTGGGACACAAAGCGGGATGGGCAGGGGAGAGGCTCCGTGCCCTCCTCCGCGGATGGATCGACCAGGGCTTCGAGCGCAGCGCAGCTCGGGAACGACATGGTCACCAGGGCGTTCGGGAGCGGAGGTGGCTGTGGCGGGGCTGCCGCGGCCGCGCTTCTTCTACCATTCCCGGACCCCGAGCCTGAACAGCCAGGAGGAGGCGTTACTTCGCCCGATCGGGCGCTCCCGTTGACTCCCTCTCCGCTTTCTCTCGATCGCCCCGAGGACCGTCTGCTGGGGCCCTGGTAGCGGGACACAACGATGCCGCTTCTTCTTCTCCTGCTGCCGGTCAGATTGTCAACAGAGATCCTCGGCGACGGGGATTCGCCACACCGTCTCGCCGAGGCGCGGGGATTGAGGTACTGACAAGAGCGTTGTGCGGCTTCGTGCTTACGGTCATTGCACCCCTCCCAGCGCACACTGTTTAGGCTTGAAGCCAGGCGTGCAACGTTGCACCAACACACAGCTTTCTTGCCCCAGTACATGCGGCAGGAGGTTCCAGGAAAGAACCACAGGGGGGGTCCGCACGGATTGACACGCGAAAAAGCTAGAAGTATTATGCAGTGGCAGAGGGCGAGGAGCTATTCGGTCGACACAACCAGGTTTGGTCTTGAACCTGAAAATGAAACACTGGGGTGTTCAGCATACCGTATACACTTGTCGATGCGTATACGGGGGAGACCATGCGGAGGGTCCCATGGTGAGGGCATTGCGGGAACGGTTTAGTCATCGGAGATATCGAGGGACAGGCAGAGCTAACTTCGTTTGAGCCTATTGATTTGTTGGAGCAATGGCAATGCACGAGTAGTCCTCACGAAGGAAGGCACTGGGTCGTAGACGAGCACTGTTGTAGAAACAACCAATTTCCTGGTCGTTGCTTGGGAGGATGAGAAACACGTCGTCAACGTTACCAGAAAAAAGCAACGAGACAGAAAATCGCGAAGGATATGGCGCAAAAATGCCACAGGGAACGAGGGAAGCAGCTATCAACAGGGAGGAGGCCAGAGAGAGAGAGAGAGAGAGAGAGAGAGAGAAGAAGAAGAAGGAAAATGACAAGAATTTAGATAAGAGGCCGGGAAAGCTATGAGCAACGAGGAGAAGGGGGCAGGGGCGGAGAGAGCGAATGAGACAGAGATACATGAGGCAAACAGAAAGGACGAGGGAGAATTGAACCCTGGGTGGTTTTCATGACGACCAAGTCCTTCCATTCGAGAGCAGGAGACAAGACCACCCTCCCATACTCTTCCGCGGGCCTTGCGAAAAAGTATGTTCCTATTTGATGACCAAAATACATCCAAGGACTGTCCCAATCACTTATGTCCGGGGGGAGGTGAAAGCGTGTGCCATCACACCCGAAACATCAAATGCTTACCCATGAACCCTGTTAGGAATGTAAATGTCAGGACGTGAGTACAGGACTACACAAAACTTTGTCCACAACACAAAGTAACATGGCTACATTAAATTCCTTCGTGTTCCCCATCTTTTACCCCATTACCCCTTTACCTACAAGTAGTATGTTTCCCTCGCAACCTGAGAGTTAACTCTTGACGTCTGCCTGTGAATTTCTACTCCTTTTTGGGCGAAAATCAAGGTGAGCACACACAAACACCGCGGATCCTTTTTCTCGGTTGTTCTCATCGTTTTCCCTTCAGGATGGTGCTGTCTGCACATCTATGTTTCAACCAGTGAAGTTCTTGAATCACTACTGCATCTTCGACGTATCCTCGTGCAAGCTCCACTGCAGAGTCACCACGCCCGCTCCGTCCAGTAGCTCCACCTCGACGGTCCTATTGCGCCGCTGCCCCTCGCGGCCACCGCCGCCTCCACCACTGCCACCGCGCAAGTCTTCCAGTGGGACGGGGATGCACGCCTCCGCCAAGAACGCAACCCTTCCTTCATCTCCTCCCCGTTTCCAACCTCCCCGCCCTCCTTCGCGTTGCTCCTGTACATTCTTCCCGTCCTCCAACGCTACGAATAGAGCGGGGTCGTCCAGCCCTTTCAGCGACAGCCAGAACTCTCCGTCCCTCCAGGACGGGTTCCGGCTGCCCGGACGGGCTGCGCCGCGGCTCAGGAAGCCTACCGCCTTGGCTCCGTCGTTGTGGTTGCGGTTGCGCTGGACTCCTTTACTGCCGTCCGACCACGCGTCGTCGTCGTTGTCGTCGCTGTCGATGTTCTTGCGGTGGAGCCAGAGGGCGTCGTGCTCGTGTGCCCGCTCTCCGGTTGCCAAGATGAGGCGCGGAGAGGTGTGCCGCGCCGCCGACGCCGCGATCTTCAGGTCGAACGATGGCTCCGTTACGCGAAGAAACAGGCCTGATGTCACAGTCCGGCTGTTGTCGGCGGCGTGGTCCTCGAGAGATTTCACCTCGGTGAAGTGGACGCGCACGGGCTCGGGGTCACCTGAAAATAGTATACTACGGTCGAGGCGAGTGGGAGGGGGTATAAACGCCGTGTGGAAGATCGTCTTTCGAAGATTGTTGTCTGCAACAAAGAAGGAGGTCTCGATTCGTATACGTAGGGCACAATGCACACGGACGAAAGCGTCGTGTCAGCTTCGCTTAAGGGTGCGTTGGGTTGAAATGTCGCCTAACACTACATCCATCCATCGAGGACACTAGAAAACAGAGAGACGAATGAACTCTACGCAGGATTGTAAGCGAACGTTGCAACCTCCCCGGTTACTGGACCGCACCATCAGGCAACATAGGCTGGAAGGGAGTAAAGTGCCGCGGGTGGCTCTGGGGACGGGAAGGGGCAAGACAATACGGCAGTAGCAGGGGTTCGAAGAAGCGGGACGAAGGTACCGCAGAGATCGTGGGGGGGGGGGGGGGG